ATCCGATACTGGACCACCATTTACGGAAGTAGCAAAAGTACTCAGCTAGGCCGACTGCAGAACCTTTTAAACTTCGCAGTCGTAGCTATTTCCGGACGAAGGAAATATGACTATATCAGGGATGTTCTGCGGCAACTTCGGTGGCTGCCAGCTAAAAATATGTAGTCGCTCCACGACCTCACCTTTCTCAGGAAATTTTTGAAGACATCCGAACCCGAGTCACTCGTTCGTAACATTGTCAACATGCATGACATTCACTATCGTGATAGCCTCAACATAATGACATGGTGATCATTGACATTATGATCGGCTCGCGACTCCTCTGATGCGCTCCGAGTCTGGGTGGTGATGGCTTAATTGCTCGATCGCGGCCGCAACTAGTGATTTGCCGGGCAATCCGTGCAAATTGTGCAATTGGCCCCTCAGTAACATCCAACCAACATGATATGAAGATAGATAGGCACCGATTGGGTGACGGCTTATATTACCGCGCATGATCGCGTGTATGCTTTGTATTGTTCTTGAGCGTCATCCGTTGAACCATGGTTTTATGCATTGTTTGAAACCAGGTTCAGAATAGCCACGCCGCGTAGAGTTGCCTCGCGATGTGTACGAGTACAGATGCTGAAACTTTCGTCCAGTGCGATTTGAGGAAGATGACTGGTACACTTAGTAAATTGGCATGCATGTTGAATGCAGCAGATAGACAAGCTGAACGCATTTTAAATCTGAAGGGTGGGGGGGGAGGCAGCCGTTGTTTCTACGTGTCGAAAGGAGGCTGTCCAGGCCGGCGTCTGCGTTGCAACGGTAAAAATAGTTGAATGCGCATGCGCAAAGGTGACGATATTAATCTGAGTTGATATACACAGACCTGTGACCTTGCGTAGATCGACTCAGACCCCATTTGTCCACAAAGGGATGCTGTTTTCAGCGATTTCAATCGTCAGTCGATGCACACGCTGAGATCTCGGTTTGGCGGCGACAGCGCATAAAACCTCAGAACTACTAGGATCTAGTGATATTCCTGGTCGTGCTGGTGACTTTTACCCGTTAGAATTTGGTAGCATTGCCTAGCGTCACAACGCAATTCTGTTGTTTTGTTTTGGTCAGCTGGTCGAAGTGGGTCGGTGCTGTTGAAGGTTACGGGACAAAGGCACGGCTGTGCGCGGCAGTGGGCGCGGCTAGCAGGGTAGAAGTTCAGTGATTACGTACCCTGTGGGCTGTATCTGAGTTATATTCGGTTACAGCTCTGAAGAATGCTTGATCTGGAAGTCGTCCCAGAAAGTAGTCTGTCCCATGAACGATGGGAATTCGTTCTAGGTAAGATGTTTTGGCTCTTGTGTAATGTTTAGCAGAAAACAATCCACATTTTGAGTGGCATGCTTTCTTTGTCATTTCTCTCCCTTGGCTTAGGCTACCTCTCTTTCGTTAGCAGCAAGACTGAAGTGCTTTATTTCGAAGCTGCCTAGATTAGGTATGTGCAAATGCCCTGTGCACAGTCAGGTATGTGCAATAGCTGTGTGAATATATCTAGTTAAACAATCAGGAAATGTTGGGATACACATGCAAGTACAGCAAGTGTCTATTTTAGCCCAAACTCAAGCGCAACATGGTCACAACATACTAAACTTTGTTATCAGGTTCCATCTTGAATTTGTCTTAATATTTCTAACAGTTTCATGTTTATCTGCAGAATATAGGGGCTGTACATGCTACGTTAGATTGAGCACGCTTGAGTTCAGGCTTGCTCCCGACAATCTGGTTGCACAACCTGTCAGATTTTGACTAAACTTGGGACATCTGTGCCATTTAAACATAAAAAGTTGCATGGGCAAGTGCTATAAAGTAGACAAGGATGGTAGCTAACCCACCATCAGAGCAGAGGGGCATGCACTCTGTTGTGAGATTGGGTGGGGCTATCAAGGAGACTAATAACATTTTTCCCCATTTGATTTCCAAAATGATGTCCTGCCATGGAGGCATTGGAGGGGGTTATCCTGGTAAAGTAAGGTTCTGCATGATGGCATCCAAGGGCAGTGATGCAAGGCTTCTGTCCTAACCATAGAGGGCCTCAGCCACATACTGTAGAGTTTTGTGTGGTCATCATTCTAAACAGCTTGGGGTGCTGCCTGTTGCTCCATGGGGGCTAACAAAGTAAAATACACAGTATGATGTAAAATACATCTTTGGTGTTTTTTTGTATGACAGGCCTTTGTTATAAGGTACCCTTTTGCTGTACAGAAAACCCTTTATTCAGCAGATGATCTCCTTGAAAGGAAAATGTTTCCTCACCTATAGGCACAATTTTGGTGCCATTCCCTGAAATCTTTTTTAACCTTTATGTAAAAAAGCTGCATCAGTTTGCATTTCCTAAAGGGCCTTCATGTCTGAAGAGCAGATAATTTGTGATAGATATGTTTTTACTTCAAGATTGCCTGTTGATAACTATATCCTTTAGCCTCACCTTTTTTATATGTTTCAGGCATGCACTTCTCCCAGGCCGTCTGTGTTATTCAGCAACAGGTCGGAGTGATACGAGATGTCCACATCAATTACAGTGACACTGTGAGTATACATATGTACACTTGGTCCATTGCTAGGGCAAGTCTGTTAGGGTGTATTTTAAGAGAGTGGGATTATGACGAAATATAGATGGAGTACTTGAGGAGAAACCTGAACCTGCGAGTCCACGGGACTAGCCGAAGATGCCAGTGTCAGCTAGATCATCACCTGAGGCAATTTACTTTTCCACAAATGGGTTCATTCAGCACCAAAGTGCTCAACCAGGCCTCAAATGGAAAGGCAGTTCCACTGACCCTCCCATGATCCTGATGTGCTTCTCAGTGTAGAAAGCTATCCAGGTTTAAATGCCTCATTGTATGCTGATGATAATGGTTTGGGCTTTACATCTCCCTAACTGCCAGAGCGATTTTAAGATTGTTCTTAGGCATCATGTGGGATGCGGTGGCGCGGCAGGGGCTTGAACCCAAGACTGGCGTGTCCGCAGCCGAGCGCCCTAACCGCTATACCACCACCGCATCAGTGCCATATCGCCATTCTGAAGCCAATGTTGATGCCAAATGGGGGCTCCTGTCGTCACATGTGTGGACATAGCTACCGAGTCGTGCACTCTGTCGCTGTCTGTTGCAGAGCCCGCTGGAGCACGATCTGGTGATAAACATGACCCATGATGGCATTCGCCTTCTCTTCGACCCTGTTGGCCAGCGCTTGAAGGTACGCAGACTGTAGTGACTACCGCAGGTTGTGTTGGTGCTGGGTGGGACCCATGCTGGCCGGTTCGGTCCCGTGAAGGTCGTGGTCTGTCATCTGAAGGTCAGTCCTGACCGGCCCTTGGTGATCGCCGCGGTCACGAGCAGCGCACCTCAATAGCCAAAAGGTCTTGGATGGGTAATATCTATTGCCTCGGCTATGAGCAAGGCCTTGAAACTTCCTGTCCAGTCCGAAAAGGGGTCCGTCTGCCCGGAGGCGGCCTCGTCGAGCGCTTTAATGTCCCGTAATACCGCGGGCGTAGTTTAAAAAAATAGGAACGGGCTGAACAGTGAAAAAAGACCCCAAACTACCCTCAAAGTATGCCAAAAAAAACAGGTCTCTCAGATTCGGGCCACTTCCTTCGCAACATTGGGGGGGAGGGCTATAGCCCAAGTTGAGGGGGCTCCAGCCCCCCCCCCCCCCCCCCAACTGAGTAGGAAGCTATATCCCTGCGTAGGACCCTGCGACAAAGAGCCGGAAGACAGTGGACAGGTGAGGTGGGACCGATCGTCCTTGGGTGATGCGCTCGGCACGCACGCAACAAGCCCTGCGGAGAACGTGATTCGAACACCGAGTCACCCATGTGCGCCAGCCTCGCTTGCAGGCTGCGTGTTGATGGATTCGGCGTCACGGGTTGAGTGTTGGCAGGGCGGCTCATCCCGTGGATTGACCTCGGTCGGCCTGGCTGAGCCGCGGATCCAGCTGCTGTCACGGGCTGCGTGCTGATGCGTTCGGCGTCACGGGTTGAGTGTTGGCAGGGATTGACCTCGGGACGGTGAGCCTGCGGATTACAGTCTGCTCACGGGGGCTGCGTGCGGATGCGTTCGGCGTCACGGCTTGAGTGTTGGCAGGGCGGCTCATCCCGTGGATTGACCTCCGGGTCGGCCTGGCTAAGCCGCGGATCCAGTCTGCTCACGGGCTGCGTGCTGATGCGTTCAGGCCGTCACGGGTTGAGCGGTGGTAGCCCCAGCTCATCTCGCGGATTGGCCTCGGTCGGCCTGGTTCAGCCTCGGGGCCGCCGTGTCGTCTTCCCGGATTACCGTGCACTGAATATGTCGCTTACCGTGAGAGGTTCGCATATTAGCTAGGTTAGACCTATTTAATGCAAGAGATCCACGACAATTATCCGATTCAAAATTTTGCGAACTGCTGTTGTACGGCAGGAACGTTTTGGGGTGCCAATTGCATCGTCGTTTATACTTCACTCCCATTTGCTTATGTTGAGTTCAAAAACTGTGTAGAATTGATATGTTGATGTGTGAAATGTGAAAATGATAATGATAAAATGCCGCCTTCAGGGCAAACATCCATTTAAAAACTAATCAGTTTTTTTCCGTGGAACAAACTGAAAATTCAGCGTTGGAGGCAACTTATCAACACAAGTAAACCCGGCGCAACTAAAATCTGGCGACTTTTGCTCGTTGGCTCTGACTAAAGCGCTGTGGATCGACGCTTTCACAGTGAAAGTACCACTCGTGCATGTTTGCATCCCATAGCGTCCATGCTTAAGTCCGAACTTCGCAGAATTGCTACCGCGTGAACAGAAAACTCCCATCAATAGAAAATAATGCAGTGTGTGAGGAGGTTGTGGCAACTTTGGAAATGCTTCACTCAGAGATCGGCAGGCTCGATTCGTACTGGCTGTCAGTCGTTCAGTAGTTGACGATTGGTAGCCATCGGCAGGCTCGATCCGTACGGGCGGTCAGTCGCTCAGTAGTTGACTATCGGTAGCCATCGGCAGGCTCGATCCGTACGGGCCGTCAGTCGTTCAGTAGTGGGCGATCGGTAGCCATCCGTGTCGCACAGATAGCAACGACGTGAGCGATGCAGCACCTGTATCAAACTGGACACAGTCTCTTGAGAATGAAGGCTCCATTTTATTTTTTGATAGAGATAATTCTTGAAACGCCGAGGTTTCCGCTATGCCAATGTTTTTTTCGACATGCGAACGTGCTGTTTTTTGGTAGTTATTTCGGTGAGGGTATGGTCTCGAAACGAAGGATGCGGGGTAGCGTCCGCTAATGTTCAATTTAGGAGAACGATGGCGGGGCTGCGGGCTGAATTGGCCTCAGTTATCCATCATAAGCTCTAACGAAAGTTGTGTGCCTCCGCCTGCCGCAGCAGCTGCGTTCGTCAACAACGCAGTAGGCTCGCCTGCAGTTGTTTGTGCTGCGCAGTTGCGGCGGTCACCGCAGTGATTCGTCCCTCGTCCCCACCCCCACGCGTCCCACTACACGTGTTCAATCACGCATCCGTGCCATGTGGTTTCGCGCGCCCACCCGACCGCTGTCACCTGGCGCGCCGCTTGTCTGCGCGCCATCTGAACCCGGCACGGTGAGTCACCTCAGTAGCCTGTCCGCCCCCTCCCGCTCCCCTCCCCATCCCCATCCCCATCCCCATCCCCATCCCCATCCCCATCCCCATCCCCGTCCCCGCGCGTGAGCGCCGCTCCCCGCGGCGTCTTGCCAGGTCACGCACGTCCGTCCTCGCCAAGGGCGCGGCCCGAGCGCAGCCGGCCAAGGTCGCCTGCGACGCGCGCGCTCGCGGCCGTCCCGGGCCAGCGCGGACCGGACCTGCTCCTGCCCGGCTGCGCAGCGACGCGCACCGACCGGCTGTGCCCGTCTACGCGCCGCGCTGTTCCGGGACCCGTATCGATTTACGCAGCATCCTGGCTGCGGGACTCGCGCCGACCTGCGCGCAGGCTTCCACCCGATGGTTGTGTGACCGCGCCGGGACTGGTCTTTGGTGGATGTCTACATTTGGACGGGTCTTGGGTGGATGTCTACATTCGGACGGGTCTCGGGTGTCCGTCAACATTTGGACGGGTCTTCGGTGGATGTCTACGTTCGGACGGGTCTCGGGTTGCCGTCCACATACATTTGGACGGGTCTCGAGTGGCTCTCTACATTTGGACGGGTCCTCAGGTGGCCGTCCACACTCGGACGGGTCTAGGGTGGCCGTCTACATTCGGACGGGTCTGGGGTGGCCGTCTACATTCGGACGGGTCTCGTGGTGGACCTGTCCTCTGATAGATGTGGTGGCTCACAGCGCCGCTGTACATGGACCCGTGAAGCACGAGCACGTGTTTTCGGACAACCGGTCCCGTGGTTTTCATGTATTCCTGACGGGTCCTCCCTCAAAATGTACACTTCGACGGGCCCCCGGGGCCATTCATGCATATTGTGATCGGTTCCATGTCGGTATGTGCGCTCTCTCGAGGACCCCTTTGTGCACATTACAATCTGGCATTTTCATCTATTTCTGACGGGTCCTCCCTTAAAACGCGCACTCCGACGGGCCCCCCGGGCCGTACATGCATATTGTGATCGGTTCCCTGTCGTCATGTGCGCACCCGGGCGGACCTCTTTGTGTACGTCGTTCTCTGGCGGCCCCTGCGGTGTTTGCATGTATGCAGACCGGTCCAGATTCGGTACGGGCTGAATATCACGGACACATACAGACGCCGGTCGGGCCGTCCTCGCCGCCGCGTCGGGCGGCGGGCCCAGCTGACTGTCAGGCGGGCGGGTTTTTTGTCGGAACGTTTTTGGCCCCAGAAGGTCAGGAGACGGTCGACGGGGAGCGCGTCCAATGTCAATTGGAGGGGAGCGGATATCATCTGCTAGCGCCGGCGCTATCAGACAAAGGTGCTGAACGGACCCGGGCGTGCTATGTTCCTGGGCCGCCTGCCGGCAATGACGGGATGAATTTGTGCCAGTCGCCGTATCTGACGCTGCTGTTTTTATTTCAGATAATCGAGGTCTATAACCTGAGCAAGCTACGGCTAAAGTACGGGTAAGTGCAGGGCATTTGAAACAATTACCTTAGAGGTGCACAGGAATGTGGGGTGGCACGTATGGATTGGAACATTTGGCTTTCATTTCATTGGTATGTGCTTTTTGTGCTCGTCGTGCTTAAACAAGCGCGTGAACTCAGTCAGTCCTGGGTTGTTATTACCGAAATGTCCTTTCTCTCTCAATGCACGCGTAAGGGAATATTACCAACTCAAGGTAGATGGCGGAATGCTGGGCCGGATTTCTTACCGACAGCTGACTTAATTCCGTCCTTGTGCGTGTAATCCCAGCGCTGCCGGGTGCAGGGTGGTCGAAGGCTGTTCACTGCTTGAGAGCTGGCTGACTCTTCCGCAGACAGAGTCTACTGAGCGATGATGAATCATTGCCCGCTCGCCTGCTCCCCCCCCCCCCCCTCCCCTTTCATATCTGTGGGCCGTTGGAGGACACTCTCTCATGCGTCGCCCTCGCGGTAGCCCAGTGCGCGCTCGAGATGGCTGTGCGCCAGTGGCAGCCCGCAACACGTGCGGTGGGATGATGCATGCGTCAGCCCGCGCCGACATGACGGGCTAGCTGGCGCAGGCTGACGGCTGGAGCGCCGTTGCGATTGCTACCCTGACCTTGGCGCCCCGCTCGGGGCCCGGGCGGTGGGCGTCAACATTTGAACAGCTGGCGGAGCTGTTAGCGCCGCAAAACGGCGTAAATGTGAACAAGCGAACCACGATAAATGATATGTAGAGTTTGTCCATACATGTATGCATCCACACGTATTCCACACATATACAGTTGTGCACTTTATAATTTTGCAAGTTACGAAACCTTGTGGACGTCAAGACCGCGTGAATTCAAGCTTGCTCTGGGGATGGTAACGAGCTGAATGACGCAAGCCTCGCCGCCGGACTGGCCCGTGCGCAGTCAGCTGTTGCATACGTGGCTCAGTCAGATCGGGGCGAGTTTAAGGGTGCTGCGAAATGGCAACCGCCACGGTGCATATGTCATTACCAGTGAGCCGAGCGTGCACAGTGCAGCGCCCTGGGCTCGGCTGTTTATTTTTCCCAGAGGCCCTGATTGCATCAATCGTGCTCGTTAATTGTCAAAGCTGGAGCGTGGAATACAGATCGTTTCTGTATTGGCTAGTGTTTATGTAAGGTACAAGTTCTTACCCGTGTTGAGGAAGTCTGTGTGTCTGCATTTTTGTGTCAGTTGTCCATGTCTTTGAAATATCACTCTTCCAGCATTTCAAAAGGACAAGACAAAGAGGGACAGAGGAATTCGAGGGACAAAGACCAGCAGCGGGACCTTGAACTCATTGTTGTTGTGATTGTCGACTCACTCGTTATCGGGATTTCAAAGCCGTGGTTTTCACCTGACAGTATTGCACAACGCCGTTATCTCCTTCGAATCGACCGTTGACCCTGATGTATTGCGTCTCGTGGTGATCGCCCAGATGGTGCGCCTGACATGCTGGTTCTCGCGTCTGACACCGCGCACGTTGGTCCCGCAGAGGCAGCGTGTTCAGCTCCGAAGAGGTGGCGCCAACTATACAGCAAGTGGACCAGACGTTCGGCGCCACGCACCCGGGCATTTACGATAGGGAGCGCCACCTGTTCCTGCTGAACTTCCGCGGACTCACATTCCAGTTTCCGGTGGAGCCCAAGTTTGAGGTGAGCGGGGCCCGTTGGTCGCGGCGATTAGAAAGTGGAACGGGTTCTAGGGAGCCAGAGTGGATTGGTAGACAGGCAAAGGAGCGTTTCAGGCTTTGCCAACGTGAACTGGGGCGGGGCGAGGGATATTCGTAAGACTTTCGTAGGAATGGCTCCTTACGCTTTGCGGCGTTGAATTCGCAAGGTGCTCACTTGCAGTGTTTCTTTGGTGGATATGTTAAGCCAAAAGATCACTGCGTAGTGCATGGATCAGGCAACAGTACGCTTTTATTGTGAAATGTGATGCACTCATGTATTTGCCCATAAATGCACATTTAGGTGTCATTCTGAAAGTGTAAGAGATCCCGTGGCCCGGATACCGTGTTACGTAACCAAGTGGCCGGGTAACAAGCTGACCTGCTGGGATCCACAGCTTGGAAAGGCTAGGTAACCTGGGGGTGCTCTGCTTCAGTTATCGTGTGTTTTTGCGCGCTATTGCACGTAAGGGGGAACTTACAGGCGCCTTCCTTCAGCACAGCATGACATGGCGCCGAATAGATCTCACGTTTGGCCTGGACAACTGTCAGAGGCTCTGTCGGTGTAATTTGTTCAGATCCCAGTAGATGGCAGGTCGGTAATCATGAGCGAGACTGCAGGCCGAGCAGGGCAGACTCAGGCGGTGAGGAAGTTTTCAACTGAGGTGTCCGACCCGGCCCGCCTCGGCCGTCACGCTCTGTAGAAGTAAACATCTTCGCAAGCACCGATATCAGCTACACGCTGCTGTCACCTACGAGAAATGCAGCTGCTCAAAACCTGCGCCTGTAATGTTTAGACATTTGCGCAGAGGGCTGTTGTGTTAAGTGAGACGTCGTCTCTGTGCATCGCGGGCAAAATAAAGCCCTTCCCATTCAACTTACGTGGGAAATATAACACTTGCTAATGGCAGGAAAACTGCGCAGCTCAAGTCGGAACTAGGGTGTAAGCTCACGATATACTGCCACACGTCAGTATGTTGGAGCGATCGCCGAGCTCGCCGGATGCAGGCACTGGGCCCGCCGGTCCCCGACTGCCGCAGTGGACCTGTTCCATGTGGAAGCAGTCCAGAAGGCAAGGCCGTGGCCGGCTACCTCCCTGTTACGCTCGGCAACTCAAAGGCTATCGGCCGTTCCACGCGTGATACGGGCTGACACCGCATCGCGGCACAGCACACGCTCTTTCATAGACATCCTCGAGCGAGAGATTTGTGGCATTCTTCACGCTGCCGCCAGGCCACACCCAACTAAAAGCCCGTTCTTGTCGTTTTAACATGGCTGGGATGGGAGAAACATGAGCAACACTTCAGAAGTATGAACACTTACAAGAAGCGTATCAGAAGAAGAAACACTGCATGACTCGTCCCAGCGACACGAGGCTACCCGTTTTGATGTAGAAAGTATCGCGCAGTCGTGTGGATGGAAGTGCGAGTGATGCGTGCGACCAGTGGCGGGCTTGCGGTCGCAAGCTACCGGCCAACGCCCGATTCGGGACGTGTTTAATGATTGGTTTTACACTTCGGACAGAGGCCTCAAGAACAAATAGAGGCCTCAAGAACAGATAGAGGCCTCAGGAACAGGTAGAGGCCTCAAGAACAGATAGAGACCTCGAGCCACCGCACAGTGTAAGCCAATGTTTCGTGTACAATTTGCTACGTGATCCCAGTAAGATCTGATCAAAAGTTGCGCTAATAAAATCCCGACAGATCGCCATTGTCGTATTCTTCCTGGTCAGTCTCAAATACAACAGCCTGTGGCTGCACCAAGGCGGACGGGGCCTTGGAAACTGTACGGGTGTTGAGTCCAGTCCATGGAGAACAGCGCCTTGCCGAATATTGGCGTGTTTCCACAATACTGCGGTCGCCGTCACCAAAAGTGCAAACCGCTCCCAATGTGTGGACTTTGTCGATTAAAAGGATAGTGCCTGGCCAGACCCGCTATACCTGTAACAGTCAATTTCAAAGCAAGTGTGGTTTCGTGAAGGTGGCGCGGGAATCCTGCATTTTCACCGTTGCTTTCTGAGTCCTCATGAGAGAGGACTTCCCTATGCATTGATGAAATACATTGCTGTGGGTTCCCGATATCATCTGGCTTCATTACGTACCTGGGCTTCAGGCCACATGATGATAACTGGTGATCCCCACGTGCGCCCAGCGCGCATCTGAATAACCTCGCTGACGTACCCACATTTGTATGGAAGGTCTTCTCTGAATGTCAGATATTACGCTGCGCGGCTGGGAAACCAAAAGTGTGTGGCCGCCGCCGTGTCCGACCTCTCTGCCAGTGTGGGAGGCGGGCGACGCCATGTGGCCCCAGCGGCTTAGTGCGCCGTAAAGTCCCGGTGACGAGTCTCAAATATTACCGAATTCACGTTTTTCGTCACCTTCCGCACGAGGTGCCTTTCGGGTAATCACTTGTGCGTGCCACCCAGGTGCAAATCGGTACCATCGCCATCGGCTTGGATTCAAAATTGAAACTCATGATTGCATCGCCACCAATCTCTTAATGGCGATTTAAAAGACTGGCACGCGCACGGCGTGCGCGCCATTGCCGCTCTAGAAATGGAATAGGCCACGGTTAAATGGCTTGTGTGAGCACCTTTGCGTCTTTGAAGTTCGATTATGTGGGCCATGACTTCCGAGACGGGAGGAAGCCGAGTCCCATATGTTACACGTGCATGCAGGCCCCGTCCTGGCACTGATCGCCAATGGCTGCCAATGTAGAGACCTCCCATGATAGGGGGTGCAGCTCAGCACGAGCGCCCTGCATACCATAGGTTGAAGTCCCCGGGGGCTCTCAAGATAACGACTCGTCGAGACTGATCGGTGGGCCACGATCCGCGTGTCAATTTGCACCGTCCTAGCAGCCGTACGTTGGCGACAGTGATAGAGGGTGCTAATTTTTGGTCATGCCCCACCCGCGAATTACAGCCTCTTACCGGCTGGATCCGATCGAAGCCCATCACCCCAGTCACACATCTATCCTGAAGCCCATCACCGCACCCGTCTCTGACTTCCGGGCCTCGGTAATTGGGTTCCAAGGAAAATGGCTGCAAAAGTTGAGCACGCGCACTGCGCGAGCAGCTGGGCCGGGAACAGCTTAAAGGGTGTTCCGGTTTGTTGCCTGCTTAAAATGTTGCTTGCTTAAACTAAGCAAGGTGCATCAGCTATCCGCCTGGTGTGAGGACTTTGCGCTGCTGAATTGTCATTTCGCCTGCGGCGATCTGCGGTGCGTCCCACGCGCCAGAAGCGCCTCCTGACGCCTGTTGGTGGTGATGAAGGGCTCTGAAGTTGTCAGCGTTCGTGTCTGCGAGTCGTGTCGCGCGCTATGCCACGACTCGCAGACATTGCCCCGGGTCTGCATGCGCCCTGCGCGAGACCTTATTTCCTCTCACGAAGCCTCAACACACGCAGTATTTCAGAGGGCACTGAGCCGTGTTTTGATAAATTTTGCTGGGATATTCCTGGTTTAATAACTTCCATCCGCTATCTTTAGCTTCGAAGAACTCCATGGTGGTAAGTGAGGAAATGAATTATTCAGTGACGTGGAAATTCCTGAATAATTTATTAGCATGTGCAGTGATGTAGAGCTCGTCACGCGGCGCACCCCTATTGAGCGGAAGCCTCCATCATGTGGCTGCCCGGTCGCCGGGTCGCCGGCTGCCGTTGCTGAGCGGGCCGGTCTGTCTTCACTCCGCTGACGGGCCGGTCGGCTGGGCGACACTGACGGTAGATCGGGCACTGAAGCGGGTCGTGTTGCCGAGCGGCCCTGTAGTGTTTTCGGTACGAATATGGTCCCTGTGTAATGCTGGCTGGCGTCAAAGCCGGAGGCGAAATAGTACGTTGAGCGGGGTTCTGCGTCAGTTGGGCGCCGGGGCTCATGTTCCCCGTCAAACGCACTGCCACGTTCGTCGATAATCACTAGCAAAAACGAAAACAGATAGTAATCTCCATATAAACACGACTCTTCCCCAGCCTGCCGCGAAGGACCCTGGAGATTGGGCCGCTAGCCTCCGCTACGGGTGCTGCGGTGCACCATGATTCCCAACAGCGATACCCCGTACACAATCGTCGAGTTGTGATGGCGGACCGGCGACGGCCAGCTGCATCGTTCCATGATGACCTGGTGTCACGATGCGCCGCGCAGGCTGGCACTGTCGGCTTCTGTAGCGCCCAGAGCCAAAGGTCACATGGCGCAGCGCTGGGCACGATGCGAGCAGAGCAAGTTTGGGCCGTTGGTCCCGCCCGGAGCCGGCGGCGCCGATCACGTCGAACAAGCGCCGGGATAAACTATGGAACGTTCGATCAGGCGACGTACGCAACCGGTACGATACGGGGAGCGGCCGGGCGATGGGACGACGCGTGCTGGTGTAGATTCAGGTGACGGGGGAAAGCTCGCTGCTTCTGCGCTCGTAAGGGAGGCGAGACGCATCGGACCGGTGACGGGCCGAATGGCACCGGGCCACTGGTGGGGTATCGGTCGTGACCCGCCGCCTGCGGGGCGAGCGCTGCAGTTCACGAGGGCGCCACTTCGGCGCCGGGACTGCCATCTGCGCTGTCTCGGCTGGGCGGAGCCGTCCCCGCTTGTGCCGTGGGGCACCGCTCTGTTTGCTGTTGCGGAACGTCGTCTTCGAATGCACTTATGGTGCGTTTGATTAAGGCGTAGACTCACCATAGCCCACTCACAGCCGGCGAGTGGGCCCGAAGCACGCATTGAGATGTGCGTCTGCCGTCTTTCGTGCGTCTTGCTGTGTGCTGTGCGCTGTGTGCTGTTCCACTTCGCAGCCGTGCTTTGAGTGAGTTGTCATGCCTGAGACTGCTCAACTTAAGGCAAGGTATTGCCGGGCTTTCCAGGATTTGACCTGGAATTATCGCCATGTTTGTCAGCTTCGCGCCAGATAAAGTCCACGCGGCGAAAGTGAGGAGCGGACGTGGATTGGGGCCTCTTGACATGATGCGCGCTAAGCCAGCTTTGGGACCGGAGCGGCTATCCCTCAAAGTCAAGGGATTATTTAAAAAGGAAGGTAAAGTAAAGGACAGTAAAGGTGGTAAAACAGAGGCAATGCTTCGGTTTTCTGAAACACGCTGAGCTGCTTTTCCTCTGGATTGAGGTACTCGCTGCTGTATACAGTGCGTTGTGTTGCTTCGCAATCATAGTTTGAATGGGCCATCAGATCCGAAACTATTCGAGTGAAGGCAAGTTTTCGTTCTGTCTCCCTGGCTTTGGTCTTGGATTATCAGTATGTTTGTCATCTTCGCGCCGGATTAAGTTCTCAGCGTGATTTAAAATGAGGGCGAATATGGAGCGGTGCATCTCGTCAGGAGAATCTTGTCCTGTTAACACACACACACACGTTTCTTCGCTGGCTTGTTTGTTCGATTATATGTTGTAATTTCAAAGGACTTCCTCCGCGCCTGACCACTGGTGTGTTTAGTCGTTGGTGCCGCAGCCGAACCGGGCGAAGTCTCGGAAAGGTAGTCCATCCTGGAAGCTAGCTTTTCATGGAAATTCGTCACGGTTCGGAATGATATGCTGTGCGGCCCAGAAGCTCGTCAGAAAAACCTGTGAGTTTGTCATCCTCAGCCGGCGCACGAATGTTGAAAGAATTTACGCGAATTCGTGATGTTTGAAGAATTCGTGCTGTTTTTGATGGGGTCATTTTCGAACCAGCAAAACAAGCGTTTATGAGGCATTGGTATGTAAAATACACGTAAAATCTGTTTGTTGCCGCTGTCATTTCCCGGAATTGTTGTCGAAGCCTGCTCTGACTTCGTCATAATCTGTATGTATGTTTCAGTTTGTTCTCAGTTGGCTGTAGAGATCGGCTTGAGATCAAAAGCAATGTTCAGCCGGTTTTAACTGGTTTCGTGGAGTGCTCGCTGCGCAATCAGGGTTGCTGTATTAGCCCGACTTCATCACCTTTGTAGTCCAGTTCCATTCAGCGGATTGGGTGACTTTGATCCCTGAGCTGTACAAAGTGACGCAAGGACGGGATGGTTTTCCTCGTGCCGTACCGTGCCGTGACGTCCACGCTGCCACCAGCTGGTGATCCGCTTCCAGCTCGCAATCCGATGAAAAAGCGGCGACCAAGCGGCCTCGTTCGAAATTCGGTCGAAACAGCTGTTAGCTCACAATATCTCTCGCCCAGCTATGTTCATATGTGAAGAGTGGTTCGACGCATCACGCAATAGGCGCATACTGTGCTGAGGGTCGCTGGATGATGGGCCAAGCCGACTCCACGCAGGATCGCCGTCCGTCTGTCGCCGGTCTGTCGTGTGTCAGCTGAGCCGTGGCTGGTCGTCAGCTGAGCCGTGGCCGGTCGTCAGCTGAGCCGTGGCCGGTCGTCAGCTGAGCCGTGGTCGGTCGTCAGCTGAGCTGTGGTCGGTCGTCAGCTGAGCCGTGGCCGGTCGTCAGCTGAGCCGTGGCCGGTCGTCAGCTGAGCCGTGGCCGGTCGTCAGCTGAGCCGTGGTCGGTCGTCAGCTGAGCCGTGGCCGGTCGTCAGCTGAGCCGTGGCCGGTTCGGTCAGCTGAGCCGTGGCAGGTCGTCAGCTGAGCCGTGGCCGGTCGTCAGCTGAGCCGTGGTCCCGGTCGTCAGCTGAGCTGTGGTCGGTCGTCAGCTGAGCCGTGGCCGGTCGTCAGCTGAGCCGTGGTCGGTCGTCAGCTGAGCCGTGGCTGGTCGTCAGCTGAGCCGTGGTCGGTTGTCAGCTGAGCTGTGGTCGGTCGTCAGCTGAGCCGTGGCTGGTCGTCAGCCTGAGCTGTGGTGGTCGTCAAGCTGAGCTGTGGCCCGGTCGTCAGCTGAGCTGTGGTCGGTCGTCAGCTGAGCCGTGGTCGGTCGTCAGCTGAGCCGTGGCTGGTCGTCAGCTGAGCTGTGGTCGGTTAGTCAGCTGAGCTGTGGCCGGTCGTGCAGCGAGCTGGTTGTCGGTTCGTCAGCTGAGCGTGGGTCGGTTCGTCAGCTGAGCCGTGGTCGGTCGTCAAGGCTGAAGCTGTGGTCGGTCGTCAGCTGAGCCGTGGTCGGTTCGTCAGCTGAGCTGTGGTCGGTCGTCAGCTGAGCCGTGGCCGGGTCGTTCTAGCTGAGCTGTGTTCGGGTCGTCAGCTGAGCTTGTGGCCGGTCGTCAGCTGAGGCCGTTGGCCTTGTCGGTCAGCTGGAGCTGTGGCAGGTGTTCGTCAGCTGAGCTGTGGTCGGTCGGTCCGCTGAGCCGTGGCTGGTCGTCAGGATGAGGCCGTGGCTGGTCGTCAGCTGAGCTGTGGTCGGTCGTCAGCTGCGCCGTGGCCGGTCGTCAGCTGACGTGTTTGCTTCCTGCTAGCCCGGTCAGGTTGGGTTGGCAGCTAGCGCGCCTCCTGGAGGTAACCTCGAGATGATCTCGGGCACTCGCTACTCGTCGGTCGCTCGCTGACCTCGGCAACGGTCACACAGTGCGTCGTTATGGTCGAAATGCTGAAAGCTCAATGTTTTTTTTGTGTATTTTCACGCGCTTAAGATAGATGAAACTGGCCCTTACCGGGGGGGGGGGGGGGGAGAGGGGTGAGTGCATCATTCGCCCCATCAGATTATGTTCCCTGAGTAATACGGACGCCTGAGGAACTACTTTTTGGCTGACCGTCAGTGTCGCCGTTACCACTGCCTGGCACGGTTATAGAAGTTGTCCTGACAGGTGTCGACCTGCCATGTGTCGAGAGGTACTGGTTAAATGACGCTATCATGCGAGCATTGCTTCCATTGTCACTGCGTGTGAAGTTTCAAGCTGCGTTCGTCGGCACGGACAGGTTTTGGCCGTGGACCGCCTGACACTCGCGAATTTACAATATACCGATGTTTGCTTGATAGCGACGCGAAGCGAATAAATTGGTGTATAGAGTTCTGATATTTGGAAGGTCGGTGAATGTCAGTATAAGACCTCCAAAGTCAAACTCAAACCAGGAGCTCAACGCTTTTCTTGCTGACATCAAATGGTTAGAGAAGGCTATGCGGCAGAATGCCCGCTGCGTCAGAGTCGGGCGAGAGGACGAGCGGTCGGCGTACCTTGGCAACACATTTCACCTGCGCAGCTCGCCCGCGAGCGGATCCGCCGGCAGCGGACAGCGACACCTGGGCCTACGGGACCCGCGCGCCGCCAGAAACCCCATCTCGGTCGTCAGAAGCCCGGGCCGGTCCTCGGGGGACCTCCTGGCGCTGCGGTGTAATGACCTCTGGGAACCCGAGGATCCGGTGCCAGGCTTCCCTGTCCCGCGAGTGTGATGGCCGCAGCGCCATCGCGAGAGACGTGTGCTTGACTCCGGCGAAATCGAATTCAGTGCCGCAATGTTTTGGCCGGAATCTGATTGGATTCGGCTCCATTGGCTGCGCGGCTGAACCCAGTTGAGAGTTGATTCACATGGATTGTGACAAAATCAAAATGGATCCATTGTCGCCTAACAATAGCCAGCTCACAAACCGATTCAGCCACAGTCGCCACGGTGTTAACACAGTCGACTCGGCACTGCACAGGTTGAGCTAGGACCCACTAGGCGCTAAAGTTAAATGTGAGCTGAAAATTTCTGTACCACTTGCTCGCTGCCCAGTGACTATGCGATGGATCGTGCTGAAAGGTTGTCGAGCCCCCCTCCCCCCCCCCCCCCCCCGGCCTTCCAAATCGCAGCTTGGTTGGTGATTCACAGTTGATTCGAAATCAGAATCACCAACCTGAACTACGATAGAGACGGATGGGCATTCGATTCAATTTTTTTAATAGCTGCAGGGACAGTTTGACATTGGATTCAATTTTTTTACCAGCTGCAGAGGCCGATTCGCATTCGATTCCAATTTCCAACAGCTGCTTGAAATCTTACTCGGATTCGGCTCCGTTCGCTTTGATTCGAACCCAGAATCGATCGCACCAAGTGGAACCAAGCGCAATCCTGCGTCTAGCTGACGCGGGTCTATCCGCGGCGGCGGCGGCGGCGTCACGCGAGCAGACCGCCGTCCGCGCCGTTCAGGTGCCTGACGTCGGCTCGGGCTGTTTCAGCCTCGGTTCGCCGGCGGCCTCGGCTCGCTGCAGTTCCCTGGGGGAGGCTCGCCGCTCGTCTCCAGCATGAGCATCTACAGCGGCAGCAGCCGCACGGGTACAGAGGTGAGCGGCGGCGGTGGCCACCGATAGCCGACGGGCTGCTGCGCTTGACCGTGGACTGAGAAGCGTGGGCTTGATTCCCGCGGCGGGAAGCTTTCAGTAAACCGGCTTCCATCCTGTATTGCGACGCTTATGACCCCGTCCTGTACCTTCATGGATAAAGATCACATGAATTGTCGTTATTGTGTTGCGGCAGACCCGTCACTTGTTTCTTCCATCTGCGCCACTCACTGGGACGCGCAGTTGCTCGCCCCCCCCCCCCCTTGCGTAAGAGAGACTTCGTGCATTGAGATCGAGGAAGGGGGGGGGGGGGGCAACACGTGTGCCTGTCCACCAGAACCGCTGCTCCAAGCGTGGTGCCCGCGGAGTCCTTGTGGTTTTCGTGTTTGTCAGGATGACGTCATAACAGGCGTCTGGGCTGAGAGATCGCTCCGATACATCTCAAGACTAAACATCGCGCTGATTCCGGCAGGCACCTCCCATGCCCGTGTCGTGCTTCAGCGGACAGGTCTACACAGAGAAGTGTGACGTCATACGATCCGATGACGTCACCATCGGGGTACGGCTTCGGCTGTTCGCCGCCGGTGAGTGATTTCTCGTCAGTTTCTCCTTGTCATGTGCATTCACGGTGAGTGATGCTTCTGATTATTGACGTTGTTACCATGGGTGTTTTGTTTGAACGCGCTGACATGTCACTGCACCTCTCCTGACTGTGTGCATAGTTACCGTTGTATAATATCGTTACCGCTGCTGTTATCGTAGGAGTGCATTCCCATTTATCGATACGCATCTTGTTGTATACTCTGTCATTATCGCTGTTTTGCAGTGTTCTAACTAAAACGGTAGTCAGTTGTCACCTTGGATGCATCTGTTATTGATTTTGTTGCACATGTCGCTCCCGTGGCCGTGCATGTGTGCGGTTACCATGGGTGGGAGGGTCCGGTCGCCATCGGTGGGAGGGTCCGGTCGCCATTCGGTGAGGGGCTCCGGTCTCCATCGGTGGGAGGCTCCGGTCGCCATGGGTGGAAGGGTTCGGTCGCCATCGGTGGGAGGACAAGTTTGTATGCCTGTCACTCCTGGCGCCGGCCGCGCCCTCTGTCCCGGCTGGGAGCCTTGACCCCGCCCGGCCGGCGGCAGGCGACTCGCACCCGGGCCTGGAGGGCGGCCTGGAGACACTGGTGCGCGAGATCCGCTTCGGTGACTCGTGCCAGGACGTGACCTCGCTGCTCGGCGCGCCTACCAAGGTGTTCTACAAGTCCGAGGACAAGATGAAGATCCATAGCCCGTTCGCGCAACAAGCGCGCGGCGTCCCGGCGGTCCGACTTCTTCTTCAACTACTTCACCCTGGGCATGGTGAGTGCGCCGCCCGCGCGATCCTCAGCCTGGCTTGGGCAGGCTGGAGAAGCGGGAAGGGGGCATCTGGGGCACGCGTCTCCCCTGTGCCTGCCGGCGGCCGGCTGCGGGACGGGACCAGGCGCCTGGCGAGTGTCCTTCGCGCGTGGGACTCGGCGCGGCCGCCTGACCGGCCCGCCTGCTGCCTGCGGGCGAGCGACCGCAGCGGTGTGGCAACGCCACGCTAACCGCAGTCGCCAGCACGCGGGGATGGCGGCATGGACTGGGTATTCGGGTCTGGGGTCACGTCGTCTTCCGGGTCCTTTTTGTTTGCTGGGTGTCCTCGTGCAATTCCAGGTTGGGCCCGTCAGACCCGCGTATGTTATGGCTCTGCTCTTGTGTGTGACTGAACGGTCTCAACAAGGTCGCTTCCCCGATGTTTTAAGTGCATGTGAGACTTTCAAAAGGTGTCAAGGCACTTTTCGGTGTGGGGTTGTTTCGCTCACGTGGATGTATGCAAGCTGTGATATTTAACAATGTTTGCTTCCGTTGGATTCTTTTCCGAAAAGACCTCCCGCTTTGGGACGGTTACAGACTTATCGGAATTGCTCTGAAGACCTCAGTGTCATAGTCTGGTTTGTCGTGGAAGTGTTGAAAGCTTTTGTTTTTTCGTCATCATCGGCTCTCGGTTTATTTTGCCGCCCCGCGCTTTAGAATGTATCCAGCTCAAGGCGTGCTTTCTGAATGCCTCAGAACTTCTCTTGCCAATGGTGGAGATGTCATTTGATGATGCCTTCCCTTTTTCCCAGGACATTTGTTCGACGCCAAGAACCCATAGGGCGAAAAAGATCCTTCTAACATACGAACTTTCCCGGGCATTACAACTTCAACATGTAAGTCACCGTTGAATAAGATGCACCCATCAGCAAGTTGTTAATAGTTCATCTTGCCGCGACTGAGTTTTTTTAATCGGAGGTGGATAACTAAATTTTTCATAATAATATTTATATGGTGCAGGCGGAATGGTTTTGCTTTGTCTCCCTCTCCTTTTTCGGCTTGGCCACTCTCCAGCATAATACTTGCCACGGCAATCGCGGCGCACCAAGCACCCTGCGGTACAGCGCCCTTATCAACGGTATGTCAGTATGGGTTATACTTTTCTACTGGTGTCCGGGTCACACGTGCTCTCTGTGTATACATTGAGTCAGGGTTTTCGGTCCCTCTTATCCACTGTCTTGCTTGTCCCGCGTCCTCGCGACACCCCGCTTGTCCGGGGCAGGCTGCATGCGTTAGCAACGAGTGGGCCTAGTACCCCGTGGGAAGGGGACCCCCACCGGTACCCAGCGCGCATGTGCGGCTTAAAGCTAGGCGGTCGGCCCTCTAGGCGCATGTAAGTCTGCCCCACCGTTAACCATTGTCCTTCATCCCATAGCCCTGAAATGATCATTTCTGGTCGAAGGGCTCTAATCCCCACCCCCAAAACCAAGAGTCAGGTTTTCATATCAGCGTTGCCGCTGTGCGCCGCCGGGCGAATGAGGCTGACAATGCGAGGCAGCGGTCGTTTGTCTGTGAGCGTGTGTGGCTGCTGTGTGGACTGTGAGCGTGCGTGGCTGCTGTGTGGACTGTGAGCGTGCGTGGCTGCTGTGTGGACTGTGAGCGTGCGTGGCTGCTGTGTGGACTGTGAGCGTGCGTGGCTGCTGTGTGGATTGTGAGCGTACGTGGCGCTGTGTGGACTGTGAGCGTGCGTGGCTGCTGTGTGGATTGTGAGCGTGCGTGGCTGTTGTGGATTGTGAGCGTGCGTGGCTGCTGTGTGGACTGTGAGCGTGCGTGGCTGCTGTGTGACTGTCGGGGGTTGGCGTGTGCGTGGGATGGCTCGCCGTTATCTGCGGTCGGCAGCCGGTCGCGTACCGTGCTCGTGTGGCGTTCCCAGAGGGGTGGTGCGGCCGCCAGAGACGAACAGTGGCCAGACCCACCCGAGCCGATGGACGGGGGATGACACTGCCCGCTCCCTGCCAGCCGCCAGCGACGCTCGGCCGCCCGCGCCGACCGCCGACGTGTTTGTGTGTGGGGGAGGGGGGGGGGGGCACACTGCGCCCCCGCCAGCTTGTACACGTCCCAGGGTGCTCATTTTCGGGTCGTCCATGTTTCCCAGGGGGGGGGGGGGCACATTGTTGGGCCGTCCACATCCCTAGCGAGCACATCATCGGGCTGTCCACGTCCCCAGGGAACACACTATCGGGTCGTCCACGTCCCCAGGGGGCACATCAGGGAGCACATTGTCGGACCGTCACATCCCTAGGAAGCTTAGTTTCGGGCCGCCTACGCCCTCAGGGAGCACGTGCTGACGCGCTGATGCGTCCCATCTCCATCCCCGTGTAACACGTGCGCCGAGCCCGTGCGCGCGTCACATCCGCCAGCCCGACGGGCCTCATATTCCGCGAGTCTGTGGCCATTTCCGTCCCTTCGCCATTGTCGCGCGGTAACCCGCCATTGGCTCCATAATTAGCCCGCCGTAGTCTTCCTAAAGTGGTCCCGGTGCGTGGGTCGGTCGCTCCGACGTGGCGGAGAGCTTCGCATCAGCCGTCCCCGCTGGCACCGGTGCATATATACCACGGCGTTCGATACCATTTCGGCCCTCTGACGTCAGCTGGGGAAGTTTGCGCCATTGTTTCGGAGCGTTGCCTCGCGCCGGGCAGCGAATCCGACCCGAGGCGGTTATGAGCGGCTGACGTGGACGACGCTGCCGGCAGGTATCACAGGTTGTAATTTCGACCTGGCCGTGGAGCCGCACGCGTCGCTGATGAACTCGGCCTCCGAGGGCGTGCACGTAAGTAGCGGGCGTCGACCGGGACGGTTGTCAGAGCCCGGCCGCGAGTGTGATCTGGCAACACAGACGAGGGGATGGACGGTCATAGCCCGGCTCCGAGTGTGATCTGACGACACAGAGGAGGGAGGGACGGCCGTCAGAGCCCGGCCGCGAGTGTGATCTGGCAACACGGACGGGGGACGGCCGTCAGAGCCCGGCCGCGAGTGTGATCTGGCGACACAGACGGGGGGACGGCCGTCAGAGCCCGGCTCCGAGTGTGATCTGGCAACACAGACGAGGGGATGGACGGTCAGAGCCCGGCTCCGAGTGTTTGAACAGTCAGCGCAGAGGAGCGGGACTCAGGTCTCAGAGCGCCGCTGCTGAAGGCGTGAGGAGCTCCTGCCGAACGCTATTTTAGGTCGCTGGAGCTGAAGCGGCGCGGGCAGTTGTGGCTCAGCGCGGGCCGGGTCAGTCGGCGCCTGCAGTGACGCCCCCGACGATTGGTATCGTTTCTAGCTCGCTCGCCCCGCACTGGGCGCCGTTTTCGCTGATGGTTTCCCCGGGCGCTGATATGCGTGTGGGGCATCGAGTTACTGGGGATGGCGACTAGTAGTCATCAGGTGGAATAGGCGTACTCTGGACATGTCGCTTAAATGTTCCACTAATCAAAGCATAGTCTTCGCTCTTGCGTGGGAGGAGGATTCTTCATACCTCGAATTCGCAGCGGGTAAAAGCCCCAGGGGTATGCTCGACATTGTTAAGTCTAACATTTGCATAAGACACACATTGTAGTCTGCTCGAGCTTTGTTGTTTGATTTGCGTTTGCGCGCCAGCGGTCCGTTTAATTTTGCTGTTTTTTTCGCGAGTTGGTTAGCTTTTTCCACATGTATGTTTAACTCTACCCTTCTAAACTCTTCCCGGAACTTCTCATCGTGTATGTACTTGCCAGGTCGAAGATGAATATGCCGAACTTTTCCAATATTCTGCCGCTTGTGAGAGATCGCAGTGTGTATGTAGACGCCCCCTCCCCCCCCCCCCCCCCTACTCCTCCCCCTCTCCTCGACTAGTAGGTACAATACATGCGCAGGATTGCTGCTCCGGGGTACCCCTTCCATCTGATGCCTGGCATCGGTACACCAGTGTTACCGCTCCAGGTCACCCCTTCCATCTGATGCCTGGCATCGGTACACCAGTGTTACCGCTTCAGGTCACCCCTTCCATCTGATGTCCAGCCTCGGTACCCAGTGTTACCGCTCCAGGTCAACCCTTCCATCTGCTGTCTAGCCTCGGTACACCAGTGTTACCGCTCCAGGTCACCCCTTCCATCTGATGCCTGGCATCGGTACAAACCAGTGTTACCGCTTCAGGTCACCCCTTCCATCTGATGTCTAGCCTCGGTACACCAGTGTTACCGCTCCAGGTCACCCCTTCCATCTGATGCCTGGCATCGGTACACCAGTGTTACCGCTCCAGGTCACCCCCCTTCCATCGATGTCCTAGCCTCGGTACACCAGTGTTACCGCTCCAGGTCACCCCTTCCATCTGATGCCTGGCATCGGTACACCAGTGTTACCGCTCCAGGTCACCCCTTCCATCTGCTGTCTAGCCTCGGTACACCAGTGTTACCCGCTCCAGGTCACCCCTTCCATCTGATGCCTGGCATCGGTACACCAGTGTTACCGCTTCAGGTCACCCCTTCCATCTGCTGTCTAGCCTCGGTACACCAGTGTTACCGCTCCAGGTCACCCCCTTCCATCTGATGCCTGTCGCATCGGTACACCAGTGTTACCGCTTCAGGTCACCCCTTCCATCTGATGTCTAGCCTCGGTACACCAGTGTTAACCGCTTCAGGTCACCCCCTTCCATCTGCTGTCTAGCCTCGGTACACCAGTGTTACCGCTCCAGGTCACCCCTTCCATCTGATTGCCTGGCATCGGTACACCAGTGTTACCGCTTCAGGTCACCCCTTCCATCTGATGTCTAGCCTCGGTACACCAGTGTTCCCGCTTCAGGTCACCCCTTCCATCTGCTGTCTAGCCTCGGTACACCAGTGTTACCGCTCCAGGTCACCCCTTCAATCTGATGCCTGGCATCGGTACACCAGTGTTACCGCTTCGGTCACCCCCTTCCATCTGATGTCTAGCCTCGTTACACCAGGTGTTACCGCTCCAGGTTACACACCCTTTCCATCTGATGCCTGGCATCGGTCACACCAGTGTTACCGCTCCGGGGTACCCCTTCCATCTGATGCCTGGCATCGGTACACCAGTGTTACCGCTTCAGGTCACCCCTTCCATCTGATGTCTAGCCTCGGTACACCAGTGTTACCGCTTCAGGTCACCCCTTCCATCTGATGTCTAGCCTCGGTACACCAGTGTTACCGCTCCAGGTCACCCCTTCCATCTGATGTCTAGCCTCGGTACACCAGTGTTACCGCTCCAGGTCACCCCTTCCATCTGATGCCTGGCATCGGTACACCAGTGTTACCGCTCCAGGTCACCCCTTCCATCTGATGTCTGGCCTCGGTACACCAGTGTTACCGCTTCAGGTCACCCCTTCCATCTGATGCCTGGCCTCGGTGCGGCATCGGTCTGAAAACGGGAGGTGGAGGAGTGGCTTACATGCAGCCATTTGGTTCCAAGGTGGTGACATCAATGCTAAGGTTACATTGTAAGGGCATTAATGGCATTAGGGGGGTGGTAAAGTGGGCAGCGTCATTGTTTAGCGGAACAGGATTCGTGACGATGAAGTGAGCGACAGCGGTGCGGCGACGCCGCGGTCGAGTGATGACATGTGGATTACAAGATTACTCGGAAAACGGCGAAATGCAGGAAAAATCACCGCAGATAGCTGTGTTAACTGATCGAGTGCTCAGCGTGCGGTTTTGGTGTTTTTGTTTGGTGTGACAGGTCAGCTGTTTTCTTCTGGGGGTCCGTGTACATCGGCCGGCGCGCAGGTCACGCTCACCCCCGCGCTGGCGTCTGTGTGGGGCGTCAGCTGCGCCTGCTCCGGCCGCACGTGTCCGGCAGCCTCGAAGAGAGGAATCCGTTCTTGCCCTGCCCTGGAGCGGAGCCCATGGGACCCGCTGCGGGGGGTCAGCATGGTCGAGCGCAGCTGGGGTGCAGGCGCAAGGCGGGTCAGTCCAGGCTTAGTACTGCTCTGGGTTCAGTTCGGTCCAGCCCCATCGCTGAGCCGGATCACTGTCCCGACGCAGGTCAACGCTCGAGCCGTGGTCCGTGTCCTGGCCGAGATCCGCGTCCTTATACTCCTGACCTTGGGTCGTCTCCATCCCCGGGGTCATGTCGCTTGACCGGGGCGGTGCTGTGACCCCTGGCTGGGGCCGCCGGTCATCCGGTCCCAGACGCAGACCGTGTCTGGCGACGGGCGGCGACCGGCAGTGACCCCGCCGTGACCTCACGATGACCCGGCGTCGGTCTCCGCAGATCCGGGCGCACACCAAGTGGGATGAGGTGTGCGGCGCGCTGAAGCCCTCCAGCCGGCCGGTGGTGCTCAACCGTGCCTCCACTACCAACACCAGCAACCCTTTCGGCTCCACGCTCTGTTACGGCGTCGAGGACTTCATCTGCGAGGTAAATGACGGTCGCGGTCGCGCGCGACGGACCGGCGGCGACGCGCGCCGGGGAGGAGGGACGCGGGGCGTTGGCAGTCGTGGTCCTCGCGACGGTGCGGGAGAGGAGTCGTGCGTTGGGAGGGGATGGAGGAGGGTCGGTTTGGGAGGAGAGGTGCGATCTCCTGTGCCGTTGAATCGGGAGTTCTGTCGCCAGCGTGTTATCGGATCGGAGTGCCCGTTTCGGTGATCTTGCCGTCCCACAGTGGGAGGCGGTGCCGGTCTACGAAAGCATATTATACCGTGCTGCGAACTGAGGTCAGCATGCGGAGGAGGGTAGGGTGCCAGTCCACAGGATGCATGCCTAAAGCCTCTGGTGATAGTGATGATGACGACGATGATGATGATGATGATGATGGTGATGACGGTGGTGTTGGGGGGCCCTGGAAGACCACTGATAGTTAATTGCTGATGGACATGGGAAGTGGGCTCCACGAGAACTAATCAAGAAATGTTCCGTCCAAATAGCTTATGGCTCGGTGGATTCTACGATTACGTAACTGTCTACATCAACGTTCGTCCCAGTGGCTCAGTTGATTAGAGCGCCTGTCTTCCGATCCACCCACCTTTGGGGGGGGGGGGGTTCGAGTCGCTTTAGGGCGCCCGCTATTTGCCCTTGACAGGTATGGCCTGCGGCTGGTGGCAGCGGTCGCGCTGAAGGCCAGTTGAAGTTAGAGGGCAGGACGGACCGTGCCAAGCATTGCGGCACGCTCAGCTTTCGCCACCAAATTCCGTCCGTTGACATGGAATTGCGCGATCGGGTGGTGGGGGTCAGGGCTCACACAACAAGCACTGCGTAGCGTAAACTCTGATCCGTGAAATCCAGCCATTCAAAGGGTTCGGATCAAATCTTTAAAATAACGTGGCACCCAAACTGGCGCGCTGCTCAGTCCCGGCCATGGTGTTAAACTTCCACCTCCATGGTCTGGATCGAGTGGTGCACGTGGCGTAAGGGAGCACTTTACAACCACGGAGTGATAATGTGCAGGAGCGTCCATGTGGCAGGATGCCTCACCTGCCCTCTCGTCTCAGCCCATTTATATAATAGGGATGGATAGCTCCGGCTCGGTTGTCCGCGTGGGAGTCCCGTTATTGTGGCTTCTTCCGTTGCGGGTCGTGGTAGCGCAGTGTTTTCTCCGTGGCAGCTGTAGCAAGACCTGTAACGAGCTTTGTTCAATACGTACCATGCTGCTTTTTATGTTCCCGCGGGAAGGCATACATTTGTATTGACCGCTCGGACTGGCAGGCGTCTTTTGCGCCATGTTTGCATTCCCGTCAGCACCCAGTGCGGTATTATTTCGTCACCTTCCGTCCCGGAGCGGCGCGCTGCGAGGGTCGGTTTGGACGTCACGGGCTCGTCGCTGTTCGCCGCCGTGTCTTGCGGTGGCGCGAGCGGCGCGTCCTCCTCCGCCCGCCGGCCGCAGTCGGCCGGTGCCGCGTCCTCCTCGCTCGGTGTCAGCTGAACCCGCGCCCTCCTCGCCCGGTGTCAGCCGAACCCGCGCCCTCCTCGCCCAGTGTCAGCCGAACCCGCGCCCTCCTCGCCCGGTGTCAGCTGAACCTGCGCCCTCCTCGCCCGGTTGTCAGCTGAACCCGCGCCCTCCTCGCCCGGTGTCAGCCGAACCCGCGCCCTCCTCGCCCGGTGTCAGCCGAATCCGCGCCCTCTTCGTACGGTGTCAGCCGAACCCGCGCCCCCCCTCGCTCGGTGTCAGCTGAGCCCGCCCCCTCCTCGCCGGGTGTCAGCCGAACCCGCGCCTCCCTCGCCCGGTGTCAGCTGAACGGCCGGTCGATGCTGCCTGCCGCTGTCCATACGTGACCGGCTGGGGCGCCGGACGGCCGCCTACGCACCCAATCTCGGCCCGATTGGCGTACGTGCGCCGGCGGAGGAGGGGGCGGGGACGGGGGCGCGGTCTGGTCGCCGTCGGCGGGCGGCTGCCGGAGGCGGCGTCTGTCGTGCCGGCCTGAGGGCCCGCTCCGTCCGATGCCGCACTGTCTGCTACCGTCCGCCCCGTGTGCCGTCGCTGTTTCTATCGTCAGCCTCTGGACATGTGGCCCGTCACTCTGCCTTTCGCCACCGCTGGACTGTGAGCCCATCTCCCTCCGGTCGACCACTCTGGCGTGCATGTTATGTGATTGGCTTGACCTTTTGAAAGTAACACCCGACTGACATTCCATAAGACTGCGTCAGGTGCGATGTTGCCCGCAACTTTTCCGGTCACCAAGCATTTCCTTTAAACGCCGAAGGGAGATACCAACAAGGTGCGTGCTGCATCAGCCATGTATCTCGCAGCGAGTCACCTACTAAGCGTCGATCGTGTCTGTTGTCTGACAGGTGATGAGCAACGGTCACCTGGCGTCGGTGACCCTGTACCAGCCGGAGGAGGTGTGACCGGGCGCCCACACCCGCTAGCCAACACCATTGGACCGCGGTGGCCACCGGGGCCGCCACCAACCAGAAAAGTACAAAAAAAGACCGGCTGGTGGCGGCTCTAGTCGGCGGCCCTCGCGCTTGTCTGCGGACGCATCAATATTGGTTAGAGGGTGGCGGCCGGCGGCGGGCGCGGACCGGCGACGTCCGGCGCCCGCCGGGGGCGTCGCGGCGGCGCGCCCCGTCCGCCGGCCGGCCTGCGAGCCGACGATGGCCGCCGCGCTGGTTAGAGTTAGTCTAGGGATGGAATGTGGCGTGTCGGCGAGGCGACGCGCTGGCCTGTGGCCGGCGCGGGGTGTCGCGCCGCCGCGGCTCTTGCGGTTTGTTACCAAGCCACGGACTACCTCCTGCCGGCGGCGGTCGGCGGCGCCCGGCGGCCGCCGTGGGGCCGGCGCGTCTGCCGTGTTCTGGGTCGCGCCCGCCGGCAGGTCGGCCCGCCGACTGCCGCGCCGGCGGCCGTCGCCTGCGCGTGACAGGCCCGGGGAGTGAGGCTTGTCGTGCTTTGAGTGTAGGGTGTGTGCTGACGGCGCCTTTCGCCGCCGCCCGGCTCTGTGGGCCGTCGTTGAATAGGCGGCCGGGGAGTGCCCGCCAGGAGATGCGTTGTAGTGTCGGCCGTGTCCAGCCTGATTGCGCCTCGGCTTCCCCAGCCCCCTCCCCTCCCATCCCCCCCCCCCCCCCCCCCGCCTCCTCACGCCATAGAGCGGTGCCGTTACCTGCGTGGGCGACTTGCGCTATTCGTTATTCAGTTCCACCCGTTCGCCCAACCGTTCATACACCAGTGCCTACACAGCAGTCCCGGCGGCGCCCGCGGCGCGCCGGCCGCCAGGACCGGCCGCGTGCGTCCCAGCTACCCGCTTACTGTAACCACCGCTGCTGACGCGCGCCAGTGTGACGAAGATCTCGCGCCAGGGGGCGCCCGAGCAGGCGACGTGCTCGCCGCGGCTCGGTCCTCCCGCCGCCCAATAAACAGTGATATTTTCCGTGCGTTGTTGGGAGCGGCTTGGTAGGTGGTGTGACTTGCGGCGGCTGGAGATGGCGGGCTTGAAAGCCGTCGAGGCGGCTGCACTGTGGTGTGAGATGGCCGTTTTCACAGCTTGCGGGCTGTTTTCAGGCTGCTGCCAGTCAATTGCCGTCTTGCGGAGCAGAAGGCTGTAAAAAGCATATTGGGAAATGTGCAGCAGGCAATACAGAACGGAACAGAATGCTTTGTGATGAGTGTAGTCCAGCACCCTCTATCAGAGTGAGTAAAATGTACCCTGACAGCTTTACGGAATGGCTGAGTGAGGTGTCAGTATTGCGGAAGTCAAATTGTTGGGACCATCGCTCTTGTCTGGTGTAGCAATCTTAACGCACCCAACGTTTCGGTCAGTTATTTTTTTACCGTTGCCGGGAGTCCTGGGAAGTATGGGATGGTGTTCAAAATGTTACGTACGTAACATTGTAATGTTAATGTTACATACATCCTAACACACCAGACGAAGACGATAGTCTGAACAATGATTCCGTGCGTGCGTAAACGGACAGTGTTCGGAACTCACGAGCAACAGACTGGTGGCACGGGGTTCGATTTCCGGCGGCGCCCGCCCTTCCTGCCTGGGTGAGAGGCAGGCGACGCCATATAGCCCCAGCAACTAAGTGCATCGTAAACCATAATGACGACAATAATAAGAGAAAATGCCTGCGTTTTCTACCCAAAGAAATGTTTTGGAAGTGGGCGGAACAATGGTATCTGAGCATAACTGGAAACGGAAAATGGCATATACAAAAATCTCTAACCCCCCTGCCGCCCGTGAGCCTCCTTGTTCGTCACAGCTTCCTTGGGTGGCGGTATAGCCGAGTCGTCAGTGGCGTCCGGTCCGTGTGCGAGCGCGTTGTAAATCACGTGCAACGCGTACATCTATGGGGCGTCGTAGGGTCGTAAGCCATCCGCGTACACAGCTTCAATCGCGGACCGAGACTCGTCACTGCCGTATTTATTCTGTAGAAGTGCATTTCAAAAGCCCAGTGTCCTCACCTGTCTCCTCTACTTCTGACGGGGAAACATTTTGAAGACATGACGGCAGAACGAGGGTTGCCTCCAATGGGTTTTATTATTTCGTGTCTCTTACGACAGAAATGTGTAGGAAAACTATTATTATTGAATATGAAGACGCACAAAGGCGTACACCTGGGAGCACCGACGCAGTGGTTTTGTCATGGTCCTGGCTGACAGTGGACAGGTCAGACCATATCACCCGACGGGTTCAGCGCGTTCGCGGGACAGCCCGTCAATCGGATAGAGACAGAGGCTTCGCGACTCTCACTAATCCAGCTCCCCACACGTTCATGACACCCGGCGGGCGAGTATCAGGCGTCGTAGGCGAGTGCGCAGCTCCCGTACGGTTTTCAAATTGCCAGGAGTCAACAGATGTCCCTAAGACATGCTGTACGTGGGCTTATGCCCACGTTCATCTCTCCAGGAAAACTACGGTAGAACCTCGCCCGAAAGAGCCATGTTAACGGCCTTACCCGGGGATGGGAGCTTGACGGAATCCCATGCCGATTCTTGAAGTAAGACAGTAGGGCATCGACCAAAAACCGGCGGGGCAATAGTGATCTAAGCTTTCCATGAATATCTGTGTTATTATTATTGGTCAGTAGGTGACCCCCAGGCGACGATGATGAGTAGAGGAACATTGTCGGAAGTGATACAAAATGCTCTAAGCAGGGTAATTTCCAAGCCACGAAAACCAAAAGTAAGTTTGTAAGCACCAGTGTACCTGTTGCCTTCTTCCGGTTCTAAAAATGGTCGCGATTCGAGTCCGGGCGGACCTTTCAGGCCACGAAAACATCACCACAGCCGAAATGTTCATTGGATTGCATGATGCATAGTTTCAATACCGGTATCTGGCATGCGGAACGAGTTATGGTGAAGGAGAAAAACGATGCAATGGTCATCATTTAAGCTGTTCAATTGCGCTTCCTGTCTGTTGGGTCAATTTGGGGCACACGTTTGCCACCCATTGCAACCAGTTGGCTACCGGTTGCGTGCAGCCGACAGGACTCTCTGCATCGATGTGGTGCCTTTTTCACTGTACGCTATGTGATTTTATCGTGTCCGCGCCTCGTTGAGTCACTCGACGTCACTCGACGACGTCAGACGATGACGTCACTCGACGACGTCACTCAGCGATGACAACGAACGACGTCCGCAGGCTTCGTCCCTGACGACTAGCAATGTGCTTGGCGGCATCTCAGGTAGTCTTAAAATGTTTTCCAACAAAAATCACGAGGCGGATATTACAGAATAAAAGGCAGCATTGAACGAGCGCACACAACCTGCACCAGGCACATATTGCAACTGCAATCACAAGTGGCGGCGGGACAGCTCAAATGTGGCATGCGGGCAGTAACAAAGTTCATGACGTTTGCTGGACACTTGGAAGATTAGTGTGACTTGCATGCGAGTGCCCATAAGCAAAGAGGGTTGAAAAATGAGCAGTTACCAATGCAACATCTGTGTGCCAACAACAGCGCAAACAATGTCAACAGGTTCTCGGGTATCTGCTTGCATTTCTTTGACAAGGCGAGGCCGTGGTCCAAGAAGTTCACAACAACGGGTGGCACAGTTTTCGTCCAAATAGTGCTGATGCGGTGTGATCATGACACAACATTCTTGCATGACACCCACAAAAGAACAGTTTGACATATTTGACCTTGCTTGTCCTTTAATGACCTGACCTGCTCACCCCTAGACGCACGCAATCAGGTCTGATGTCACTGATGTAGAATATTGTGTTTATAGAACAGAAAGAGAGCATGTCCCAGTTGCTATAAAGTGAGCTATGTTCTCGATTTGGCAAGAAACATGACTGACATGACTTTCACAAGTGAGTCGTAGGCAGGGTTGTCACTTTGTATACTTTCGAGGTGGTCTGAGCCCCCTCTTGGTGCTGGCTTGAGCCCCTCTCATGCTCTACTGAGCCCCCCCCCCCCCCAATGCGTATGAGAAAAAGGCGAATACTGAGCCAATGAAATGCAGCAAGCAGCTGATCTGCTGGTCCACGAGGTATCTTAACGCATCACTATCAATATCACCATCGTCATGTATCATTGTGCCGGTCGCATTGGCTGTGAATGGAAAGTCATTCCACAACGTCGGAACGATTTGGAACCGACCACGTTGTTTAAGTTTGCCATTAGTGATGCCAATCAAAATAGCCGAAACTAGGGGAGAAATCAGGATTTGAGGGAAGGCAGGTTAATTTAGCTTTATTGGCTCAGCCCCTCCTCCCTCACAACTGATCTTAGAAAGTGACGGCCCTCGTCATCGATCACGACAGATTGTGAAAAAGTGCTAAAAATTGGCAGCATTGGTAAGCTTATTCAGCTACCGGAAAATCAGCATAATTTCCTTAATGGTTGTCAAGTTATTCAAGAAAACCCCAGACGGCTTCGTCCGACCACTCATTCGACAAGGGTTAACCACGTGCTAGAGTGGAGAGCAAAACACGCTTTGTAGAGTGGACATGCCCCATTCCATACCCTATTCACTTCCCAAGCGTCCGCAGGTCCCACCTGTCAAAAAAGGATTAAGGACGGACGTCTATCTACGTTGGGTGATGTATGCGATTAAACGTCGGCAAATAAACGATATAGGCAGACACGTGGGAATAATTATGTTGTAAATCACGCAAGGTTGATATAAGTTAAGCAACACATTTGCCCGCCTGTGACGCGCTCAACTTATGAGTTTAGCGCGTCACAGGTGATTATTTTGCGTGTTATGAAGAGGGCTTTGGTCATCGCGCCCTCCTGCATTCCCCGTGGCCTCGATCATTGGTTGCTGGGATATGAGTCTGTGAGGCACGAGCCATGCCACTCGCTCGAGCTGTGCTCCCGCCCGTAAAGAAGTGCTCATCAGGAGCGCAATCTTCCCCTCCAGCAAACTGGAACAAGCAGTTGTCCCGATGTGGCGTAAGCGGATGTAACTTTTGTCGTTCTTGGAAGACTATTTCAGCGCTTCCGGACGTTTAGCTGATTTGCTGAAACTGCTGAGTTGCCTGGGACTTAATGTCATTGAGGAGGATCGACTGATGTTTTACTGGAGCGGTGTGGGTCGGTATACGGACAGGCGTTCCCAATCGGGTGGAATTCTCGCGAGGAGGAGCAGAAGAGTCTCAGTGGGGAGTTGCTATGCAGCCGAATCATGTCTGAGTTAAGAAAGCGTCAGCATGTAAGTGCTGAGTAGAAAGTGATGTTACATGCTCTGTTACAGTAGCCAAAGCGCGGTCAGTATGTACGCTGACATGAAGGGATAACGCATGAAGAATATACGGGTTTAATAGCGTGATT